AGGGCCTTGCTACAGGGTCTGACAGCTTGGTGAGTGGGACACTCATTCTGAAGCACCTATTTATCCCCTTTAAATATATTGTCACCTTGTGCCTAAGAACTGTGTGTCCTGCCTGCAATGTAACGTGAGCCCATATCTTGGCATGCATAAAATGGCAGGAGTTGAGCTAACAGCAGGTTACCAGTTTGCTGCTGTTGTCCCAGTTCACAAGAGCAGCAACTTGAGAGTATGCGCCACTAATAAAATGACCAGTGGCTTCCAAACCACAAATTTCTCAGTTTTGGAGGCTGTCAGGACAAGGTGCCAGCAAGCTTGGGTTCTGGTGAGAGTTACCAGCTTCTCTCCATGTCCACATAAGGGAGCTGACTCTGGTACTTATCTGACTCATGAAAAGTCTTCCCAAAGTTCTAAATCCTAGTACCACCACCTTGGGGATTAGAATTTGAACAGAAGGCTTGGGAAAAGAAACACTCAGTCAATATTAACAGCCACACTTGATTTTTCCAATAAATCAATCCAACTAGTGAACACTTTCCTAAGTCAGCCAGAAAATTCAGAGCATGGATAGGTATCACAACATGGATAGGTATTTACCCATACTTTAATGTTGTGATTATTCCCCCCAATCCACCCCTAGGGGTAAAGGACAACAAATTTCCTGTAATACCTGAAGGGCCAAGAGCTTTTTAGGCACTCTGCTCACTCACAAGGCCCCTTTTCCATGTGCTCCTTAGGTATCCGCCGGGCATAGTAGGCGTGGCTCCGGGAGGACTTCCTGCAGCCATGGAAGGGATCATCCCTGGAGGCATCCCGGTGACTCACAACCTCCCCACGGTGGCACACCCTTCCCAAGCTCCCTCTCCCAACCAGCCTACAAAACATGGGGACAATCGAGAGCACCCCAACGAGCAATAGCAGAGAATGCTGAAAGGTAATCATTCAGATAAACTTGGGACCAAGAGACAGTGAAAATGGATGAACTAAAAGAGAAGGAATTTGACAGTCTTTTTAACTGACCCTGGACATATGCATCGTTGGTGTTGCAGTGTTAAAAGCTACAAGAGCTAGAAAACTGAAGATGTTGTCTGCTTCCGGAAGCGCTGAAAAGAATAGGACGTGATTTATTAACGACCAACTTCTGTTATTGTGTGTTAAGTTTTCCATCTGTGCATCAAATCACAAAGAATAAATAGAGCTTTTTCCTTTATCAGTTCCTTGGGCACAGCAGGTCCTGAGCACCTTGCTCTAGAATGTTGCATCAAGAGTTCCAAACATCAAAATAAAAAAATATTAAGAGGAAATCCCCATCTTATGACTCTAGTCCCTTTGGTCTACAGGGGCTTGTTACCTCTTTTTGCTAATAGGAAGACAAAATTGCTACAAAATGGGGAAAAAACTGTTTGCCTGTGTTAGACACCTGCACGCATAGGATTGAAGACAGTACAGGCTCCTGTACAGAAGTGTCTCCCTCACAGCTGAACTGCATACCGAGCAGGCAAGTTGGTTGTAAGTTCAGTTGTACCCTCTGATGATGCAAAAAAGAAAAAGAAAAAAAAAAAAGAAAAAAGAAAGTATTAAGTTTCACAAGCTGTTTGTACTCAAATATATTTTCTCAGTTTCAGATCCTCAGCTATTTTATTGAGTGGAAAGTCTTGAACTGCTAAGGGTTCAAGAATAATGTTGCATTTCCTTATGTCTCAGGAAACACTTTTTATGGTAACTTGTCAGATTGTCTATGAACAAACCCACTTTTTTAGACATTGATAAATTCTTTTCTTCACGTGATATTTTATACAAGAACACTTCAGATGTGTTATTAGATGTGACTGATTTTAACAAATCCTATTAGATTTGTATCAACTAGTTACATGTTCTATTCATAGTCTTTTGTGAATCATTGCCTTTTTGTTTAAAAAGATGGCCTATTTTGAGCCTTTGTATAGGTACATTCCTGTTTTTGTGACAAAAGAAAAACTTTAACCTGTCCCAAAAGGAAAAATGGCTATCAGAAGAAGTATGTTTTGTTTTAGTGTGAGTTACCGTTACTGTACTTGTTTATTGTAAAAGGTGGACATTTAGCGTTCAGTGCAGTTTTCAATAAAAAGTAATTAAAATTTCTGCTAAGCTCTGAAATTCAAGTACATCTCACCAATGTAAAAGTTCTCTACTTGAGATGTTTAGAGGTAACTGCATTGTTCGCCAATTCCCAACTCTTTGTTACTCCAAGGTTCTGCCTACCTATTCCATTACCAGATTCAAATGCTGACAATTACCTCATGTGCTACAGCATTTACCCAATAGAGCAAGACCTCACACAAGCCCATCACTGTTAAATCATCTAACCCTTCAAGATGCAACACTGCACTGGAACAAAGTCAATTCCAGAAAAAAGCTGTTGAAGAAATTTGGTCTTAATCAACCCAAAAATAGAACTGGCTCACGCATGCCAATGACATAAGAACCGATTTACAAAGAAGTATTACTCTGAGAACCATATCGTTCATTTAAGGAATCTTTCTTTTTAAACAACATTAAGCCTTTTATATTAGTAAAATGAAGACCCACAATTCCAAGGTCAAACTCCCTCTGAGCTTTTTCTTATCCTTCTTTTCTGGTTTTTGCTGTGCTCTGCTCAAACGCAGGGCCTCACGAATGCTAGGTAAGCGCTCTACCATAAAGTGTCAACCCAAAACATCCTGTGGTAAGGCATCACCCTCCCTGGCCTTCTCTTATCACTCAGGTAGGTGGCAACCCCATCCCTACTCTGTGAAACTACCTTAAACTCCCATGGGAGACAGCTTCCCAAAACAATAGGTCAAATAACTGTCTTTATAATCACTTACCAAACAGATGTTGAAATGCACAAAAAGACCCCAACCATTTGTGCACAAAAGTTATTTTACCTTCACATGTTCAGAATGGGATGGGATGAGACTACGAGTCAAATAGAAAAAGGCAGGTGAATCCGTGGTGTGCCTGGGTTTTGTTTAATTAGATTTCAGTTGCTCAGACAGTTCTTTGGAAATTATTATATAACTGAATCCAAAGAAGAACAACAAGAATAGAAGACACCATACTGATTTTACCCTAGAAAAAAAACCATGAAGTTAAGTCCACACAATTCAGGCATTATTATTCACAGTCAACCTAAAGACATTTATGTCTGTTACCCAGCCATATATAATCTTTGCCACTCTGTCTCAGGATAATTATGGCTGTTGAATAGTTCAAGAGCTTAACATAGCATTGATTTACCAAAAAATTTGGCCTTTAACAGCCAGCCAGTCTGTTGTGAAAACCACTTAAAGCCCCTTTTCCTGTCTGAAACCTAGAAAATGGAACCAGATATAATGCTTTCCCACAGGGAAGAATGTTGTACCCATCAAACTAATCATAAATAAATAAAGAGGGAACTCTGGGGAAAGGACACCTAGCAGCTCAACAATGAGTGCAATGCAGACCCCAGAGACCAGATGCTTTCCTAATGCCTCTCTTAGGCACTCTGCCTTCCCAAGTGAGGTGGCCAAACGACTAGAAAAGGATCTGTGACCCCTGAAGAATCCTCCTTATCCATGAACAACAGTTAACTACAGATGCTATTCTAAGCACTCAGAATGATGGCCCCTGCTTCTAAAAACTTGGCTATTACAAAGGAAAAGGGAAACCACAGTCAATTTGTAAGAAGACAATAACCACTTGGAACAGTACATTCACCTTATTGTAATATACCAAAATTCATTGATATGGAATCATACTGCAAACATAAAACTCTTCCTTGCAGGTTTTAGCATGCAGCAAAAATGATCCCATCATCCTGGGAACACTTTACTGAGTGTTTGGAGAGGAGAAAGAACCAAAGACATGACAGGTCATGGGTATTTTTCTGTTTTTAGTATTCCAGCATCAAATTTGAAGATGTGCACATTTCAATACCATCTAAACAGGAAGCAAATATTAAAAGGTTTTCACAGCCTGAAAACGAAAGTTAAAACATGTGACTATGTTATTTGCTTCTTTGCAAATTCCTTGCCATATCAATAGTTACAAAGTGCTTGTCAGGAAACTAAGTCTGGTGTTCCTGAGATCAGAAATTTTTACCCAGTACTGAATGTATACCTGAAGTGGTCAAATAATACTTTTCATAGAAAGTTTTTCTACACAGTAATTTAAGTTATTAAATAATAAGAATGGCCACAATTAACCAACATGCAAGAGTTCTTGGAATTCATACAATGCACTTACCACCTTATTGCATTTTTTAAAATCTTTATTCTGCACTGAATGGTATTCCCAATCAGTCTAAGCAAAGGCACGGCCTCCTAACAGCATTTGCTTAGAGCAAAGGTGATAACAGGAGATGGGAAAAATCCAAAGGTTCTCTGCATGGCAATTTAGGAGTAGAACAATGTGGATGGAGCTGAAGGGAACAAATTTGACACGATCTACTCAGTGAGAAGTGAGCCTGCTCCCTTCCCTTCCCAACTGCTGCCCAGAGTCTGG